GCTGATATCATATTATACATATTTCATAAAAATTGAATATTAAAAAATCAATCAAAATAAAAAATCAAATATAAATTAATAAATTTTGATTTTTATTATAAATCCTATATCTAAAATTATGTTTCAAACTAAAATACATTGGTCGAAATAGTTCAAATCAGCTAGAAATCAGATGGTCAATTTTAGATTAATTTTGATACTATTTACAGCTGATTTACTATATTTTTTGATTAGCATAAACAAGTGCTGATAGATGTTGATTAACTCCAATTGGATATAGCTATGTGGCATTAATTCAGAACTTAAATTTAACTATAAATCAGTCTAAAATTAGCCTTAATTAGGCAACAATTCAGATGCTGATAGACTCTAATTGACTTTAATCAGATATAGCCATTTAGCATCAATTTGAAACTTAAATTTAACCATAAATCAGCCTAAAGTTGATCTTAATTTAGCATTATTCAGCATTAATTTGAAACTTAAATAACTATAAATCAGCCTAAAATTGACCTTAATTCAGCATTATTCAGCATCAATTCAGAACTTTAACAATCATAAATCAGTCTAAAATTGACCTCAATATAATATTATTCAGCATCAATTCAGAATTTAATAACTATAAATCAGCCTAAACTTAACCTCAATTTGATATCAATTTGGTCAAATAAGTATATAAAATTGATATATTTTATTTATTAAATTTATTAAATATTTAAATTTTATTAATAATAAAAACCCAATATAATTTGCAAAATATAATTTTCTATTTAAAAATATAAATAAAAAATAGAAAAACCATATAAAATAATAAAAATATAATTCATTTTTCTTCTAAAATCCTTTTAAATCATCTTAAATATTTATTATCATAATATTGCCATTTTTTAAAAAAATAAAAAATCAGAAAAATTGATTAAAATTCATCTTAAGTTTCATCTAATTTGATAGTTGAAGACATATTTCTATTATAAAAAGTAAAAAAAAATCAGAAAAATCAAATAAAATTTAACTTAAGTTTTGTCCGATTTGATAGATAAAGGCATATTTCTATTATAAAAAGTAGAAAAATCAGAAAAATTCAACTTAATTTTCATCTGATTTTGATAGTTGAAGGTATATTTCTATTATAAAAGCAAAAAAATCAGAAAAATTCAACTTAAGTTTCATCCAATTTGATGGTTAAAAGCATGTTTCTATTATAAAAAGTAAAAAAAATCAGTTTATTTTTTGAAAAGTTAACTAAAATTCAGCTTCTTCTTTGTCTGATTTTAATAGTTGAAGGTGAATATTGACTAAAATTTAACTAAAGTTCTTTTTGTTCTTAGGATAATTTTTTTTTTGATATTTTGATGACATGTAAAAAGATAAAATTTGGAAATGATTGTAAAAAGTTAAAGTTTGAATTGAAATTATTTTTTAAAAAAATAGAAAATTAAGTTTATTTATATAAATATTCCTTCTATATATACCAGAAATAAACTCAAATAATACATTAAATTAATATCAAAAAATTGTATATTTAATATTATTTTAGCAAATTGGTTTAATCTAAAAGTTTAGTTTTTTAGAAATGATAATACATCGATCTAAATGAATAATAAATGCATCATTTCTAAGAATAATAAAACTATCATACCTTAAAAATAATAGTACTATTATTCTTTAAGAATAATAAATTCATTATACTTAAGATACAATAAAATTATCATTTCTAAAAAATGATAAAACCATCATTTTTAAGTATAATAAAACTATCATTCCTTAGGAAAGATAATACTATTATCCCTAAGAAATGATAAAACTATTATACCTAAATACAATAAATACATTATTCTTTAGGAATGATAAAATCATCATTCCTAATAAATAATAAAACTATCATATCTAAGATATGATAAATGCATCATTTTTAAATATAATAAAATATCATTTCTTAAAAATAATAAAACTATCATTCTTAGATACGATAAAACATTATTTTTTAGGAATGATAAAACTATTATATCTTAGAAATAATAATATTATAATCCCTTAAAAATGATAAAATTATCATACTTAAGATACAAAAATACATTGTTCCTTAAAAATGATAAAACTATCATACTTAAAGTATGATAAATGTATCATTCTTAAATATAATAAAATATTGTTCCTTAAAAATAATAAAATTATTATACTTTAAGAATGATAATACCATAATTCTTTAAAAATAATAAACTATTATATTTAAAATACGATAAATGTATTATTTCTTAAAAATGATAAATATATCATTTCTTAGAAATAATAATATTATTATTCTTTAAGAATGATAAAATTGTCATATCTAAGATACAATAAATATAATGTTCCTAAGAATGATAAAATCATTATTCTTAAGGGATGATAAATCATCATCCTTAAAGAATGATAAAACTATCATTCTTAAGGAATGATAAAATCATTGTACCTAAGGAATAATAAAATCATTATATTTAAGGTATGATAAATATATCATTTCTAAGAAATGATAAAACTATCATTTTAAGAAATAATAATACTATTTTGTTTCAATCAGATATTAATTGACTATAAATAAGATAAGTCAGATTTTTGATATATATCAAATGGCTATTAGTATACTAATTAGTTATAAATAAGATAGGTTAAATTTTGGCTAATTCTTAGTTAATTTCTGATGTATGCCAATCAGCTAAGCCGATTTTTTTAATAATTTGCTGATTTTAGGTTAATTTTAGGCTAATTTTTTATATGTCTGATTTTTTTGATTTTGATCAGTGATAATTACTATATTTTAGTATATAATATGAGTTGATTGCTAGAAAAATCAGGTTCCAGGAATTTTTTAACAAAATTGAGATTTTTATTGCATTTTAATTTTGTTTTTATTAGATTAAAATATATTAAGCTCTTAATTTAAGTCAAAAATTTCTCAAAACCTGATTTTTCTAGAAACTCTCTTATATGTTAATTAATTAAATAAATTAAATGATATATATTCTAATTATAAAATTATTATATTTATTTTCAAATTAATTAAATTATTATACTTTTAAATATAATAATAAAATAATTAATATTTGTATATGCATATTCAAATAATTAAATATTTATATATTATAAATTTAATAATAAAACTATTTAATAAAAATTAAAAGACAAAAATTAAGAACTTATTTTTTTATACTTATTTATTATAATTTTTTTATAATAATATAAAATTATAAATATAAATATTGAATTATAAAATATAATAGTTTTTTAAAAACTTTTAATAAAATAAAATGATAAATTACAAATTACTAAAATAAAGAATCTATTAAATGATCTGATAAAATCTAGAACTTATCTAATATTTTTTATAATATTAGATTATTATTAAATATTGTGTAATAATACTATATTGATATTTTCCTAATATGATAATATCAAATTTTAGCAAATATCAGTTTTAATATTTATATACTTTAACATTAATTAAATTTAATATTATCAAAATTGTGATAATTATTAATAAAATAATTATGTCTATCAAAATACAATTTAATTAGTAATTTATCAATTCATGTTAAAATATAAATATTTGTCTAAAATTTGATATCTGATATTTATTTATTTTTACTCATATATTATACTAATATTTCTTTATTTGACTAATATAATAATTTAAAATTTTCCTTTTCAACTATATAATATTATTAATCATATAAAAAACTGGTTTTGCATATCTTAATAAACATTTAAGTTAAATTAAATATATTATTTAATTATGTAAAACAATATTGTTTATTAATAATTATATTTTTAGAAATAATTTGTGTTATATCTTTTCATTTTTTCATTTTTTATATATATATTTTAGAAACAGAAAATTTTTAGTTGTAAAATCTATTTTGCACACTCAGCATTAAATATCACATATTTTAATTTTAGACAGCATAATTTAATTTTGCTTATAGATGATACATCACACATGCGATAAATAAATTTACTCTTATTTTTAATATATTTGCTTTTTTGATAAAATTACAAATCTATTAAATAATAATCTTTTTACCAATTTTCTAATATATTTGCAAATATTTATACAAAATAAATTTTAAATTGTGCTTCAAAAGAAAATCTATATTAACTTAAAACACTAAATTAATAGATTAAACTAATATAAAATAAAATGTAATTGGTAAAAAAAAATGAAAAAAGTATTATAGTCTAATAAATCTAGATTTGCATCTTTTAAGTCTGATGGTTAAGTAAGAATATGTGGGGTGGTGAAGCCCATATTAAAATTGCATTCAAACTATTAAAGTTGGTGATGTTTTAGTTGGATCATTCATTAGTAATAGTTAATGAAAATATTATATTAATATTCTTGCAAATCATATTTACAGTTTGGTGAATGAAATTTCAGTATTAGATTGGTGGCGCAAAGTTCAGATCTAAACCCAAATTGAATGCTTGTGGGATTATTTAGATCGTCAAATACAAAAAGGAAATCTTTGCATAAATCTAAGCAGGAGTTGCAAAGAAAAATGGGAAATTTAAATGTAGAATTATTACCATCATTCAAGTATACACAAGCGTATTAAAGATATTATTAAGTTAAAAGGTAGACACATTAAATACTAGCATTTAAATTTTTATAATAATCAAAGTTAACATCCAATTATTTTTAGATCGTTCGTATTATAAATTTCCGGTGATTTATTGTAGGGTAGTATACACAGCACGTCCCTTTTCCAATAAAATTCTATTTTTTCCAATCTAAAACAATATAACAAAGAGTTTAATTGGAGAATTCATTAATAAATTTCTGAATCCTTATACTTTAATCCTTATCCTTATCTTTTAAAAAAATCCTTTATATTTTGGATTGAATCCATTTTGGTGGATCCAATGCGATCTGATCTGTGTTTCAGGAAAGTTTATATATAACAAACAGTTTTCAATTTTTTTTGTTTAACTTGATAAATGTTTCGTAAATTACAAAACCAACAATGACGTCGCCATATGATTCAATCGACCCTGAAGTACTTGGGTTAATTAGTCAGAATTATCAAACGTCATGTCCCGACGTTCAACAACTTTTTTTTAAAGCACTTAGCTCATGCAATTCTCAAGGAACAGTTGTTGCATATAAACATTCGTTCTTTCATCTTATATTAGTAAATCTTTTCAAAATCACTTGTGAAGAAATATTAGATAAGTTTGAACCGATGACAAGCAATACTGTTACCGACAAAGTTTTTTTATTTACATATAATCAGATAAATTACAAAATAACCTGCGAATATGTTCCATCCCCAATGGTTGTTGATATATTGAATAAAAAAGTATATGATGTTGATACAAACTTTAATGAGCAGCAGCAACGACCATTTGTGGATTTTCCTAAAGGATATAAAGTCGACTTTGAGTCTTCCTTGAAACCATATTTAGATGTTTATCTGGCACAGGTTCACATTCAAAATGATCAAAGTGGTAATGAAAATGGTAGATATGTTTTTAAATTGTTTCGTTCAGGAATTTGGGTTCCACGAAAAAAAAAAAAAATACTTGTTTAAGTCGATCCCGAGTTATTAATTGAACTTTATTTCCCTCTCAGACGAATACTTCATTGAAGCCAAAGAAGATGAAACATATCCGTGTAAATGGACAAAAGAAATTACTGAAGAATTCATTCGTATTTTGAAGAATAAGATCCAAGAACTTGTTAGGACCGGTTCCATATCTAAAAATATTTCAAAAAAGCATTGGGAAATTGTCTCTCAAGAGTTGAAGGATCAATCCCTCCATTATACTCCTAAACAATGCGCCGTTAAATTTAAAAATCTTAAAAAAAAATGCAAGGTAAATAGTTTATTTCTTTATAAAAAGTTTATAACATTATCCATTTTTTTTCTAATAGTGAATTTTAATTAGGATATTAACAGTAAATGTCAATATAAGAAATCAGTTCAAGAAATTCTCGAAATAATTGATTCAGGACAAAAAAATAAGTAACGGATATTTAGTTTATTATTCAATGAATTTATATCGACTTTTTAATATATTTAGATGATATTATAATAGATCACAATTGTAAAAGTTACGTAACAAATTTTTAATATTTAAGGAGCATAACATCACATTACGGATCATATAATTTCATGACGTTTTACTGGCAACGTTTCCATTTACTCTTTTTTTTTTTTCTAAAAACATTTCTTAATTGTATTGAATTTATTTTATTAATTAAAGTTTGGATGTGCAATCATAGCACAATATTTATGAAAAACAAAACTAAATACAATAAGCTAGCACTTGTTAAATCAAGACGACTTTTAGGTGATTCTCCAGAACAAAATTGCCACTTTGTGCTGTGCTAATCAGATCGTGATCAAAACGATCCATCAGTTTTGTAGTTCACCTTAATCGATGCAACATATTAAGAACTTATAAATTTTTTGGAGGACGAAAGGCGATAGAGCCGTCATTTTGAGAAGCATAATCTCCAGGTGCGTTTAGTTCTGTGGAAAAGGGAATTTAAATTTTAAAAAATATCATTTATCTTTACCCTAATCCTTTTTAGCCTTTGTATCACCCAAATTATCGATCTGATAGTGAGATATATTTCTTGATAGATCAATATTTCTTGTTTACGTCCAAAATTTAAAACAATTAAACATTAAACAATAAGTATATGATTATTTATTTATTACATTTTATTTTAAAGTCAAATTTTATTAAATTTATTTTACATTTTGAAACGGAATAAAAGAATTACTTTGATCATTATAGTATTGAAACTATGAAAATAACGGAAGCGTTGATGATTATAAGACGAAGAAACATCATTAAAAGAAGTTGGATCAATAATTTAATAATTATTTAAAGAAGATGATGAGTCATTTAAAAATAGGTGCGTATATAAGTCATTTAAAAAGACGCATGAATGAATTATTAAGGTACTTATATGAATCATTTAAAGTAGGATGCGTATACGAACAATTTTAAAAGAAGATAGATCATCTAAAGAAGTGTACATGTATGAATTATTAATGGAGGGTGCGTTTAAAGAAAGATACACGTATGACTTATTTTAAAAGGATATAATTTAAGGAAGGTGTGTGTACAAATTATTTAAGAATTCATATAGAAGATTTAAAGAAGGATATATAAATTCTCTATAGGAAATGTGTATATACATTATATAAAAAAGAAGGATGGAATTTATATTATAAAAAAAGAATAAGTATTTGAATTTTATAAAGAAGAAGAATGTATATTAGAAATAATTGTAAGAGTAAAAAATTGAGAAGAATTTAAATTAATAATATTTTTATATAGATTATACCTAGTTATAAAAATAATAAATCATATGATCTGTAATATAATTCTAAAAGCAAACCTCCTATTAATCTTTTTTAAATTTTCACTTTTATTTTTCTTTTAAATATTTTATCATATTATTATATTTTCTTTTTCTTTTAATTTTATTTCTATTTCTTTATAATATTTCTTTATTTTTATCTATTAAATATATTCTTTATTCTATTTTTCAAGTATATTTATCATTATTCTTATTTTTCAATATATTTTTTTATTCATATTTTTCAATTCTTTTGTCTGATTATTTTATCTTTTTTTTTTATAGTTTTAATTTATTTTTATATTACATAATTATTTTTTTAAGTTTATTAAAAAAAATTTTATAACTTAATGATAATTATAAATTAATATAATAATTAGTTTTATAATATTACCTATTAATTTTAATATTTTAAATGGTTATTAATACTAATATAATTAAAATTAATTTATTATAAAAAAACAATTATATTATTATTTGAAATCTTATTTATTATATAGTCATAAAATTACAAAATTAATTTTATAAGATAAAATACTTCTTTTATTTATAATAATTTAATATTATTTAATTTTATAAATTTTATAATTCTCAAATCTTACTAAGCAATTCCAACTTTTTTCTTTTCTATAAATCATTATATTATTTTCTTGATATTTAATTTTTATTAAATATTTATCATTTTTATTTTATATAATAATTTATAATAATCTTTTTTTGTTATTTTCACTAATTTCTTTTTTTAATAATAAATATTATATACATATTTTATGATTTTATTTTTTCTATTTTTTTTATTTGAATTTTATATAACTTTTCTATATATTTATAAATTATCTTTATTTTTTTTCTTTAGTTCTTTAGGTTTTTATTATTAATTTTTATTTTTTTCTTTTAAAAGTTATTTATTCTTTTTTTTAATATTAATTTATTTATTATCTTTCTTATAATTTTAGTATTAATTATTTTATATTCTGTATTTTATTAATATTCTATATCATATGATTTATTAATTGTTTATTTATTATAAATTTTTAATCAATTATTTTATTTTTTAAATAATTAACTTTATATTTTTTTAATGTTTTATCTTTTGTTAATAAAAATCACATTATATATTATTTTACAAATTTTTAATTATATAGCATTTTATTTTTATTTTAAAAATATAATCTATATAAATTTTATAAATTTTTAAATTTACTAATATTATAATAAAATGATAAATAAATAATTATATTAAATATTTTAATAGAATAATTCTGACAATTTTACTAGTTAAAATCAAAAAAAAAATTATACATATAATAAATTAATTTAAAATTAGTCTAAAATCAGATATTATTAAAAATTAATTAAAATTAGACTTATTTGATAATAGTTATTAGCATATATCAAAAATCAGCTAAAATTAAATTTATTTAATTTATCTCTTAAAGCATAGATATAAATTAGTTATAAAATATTATAGAAAAATTATAATATTTTAATATCTAGTAATCATAAAAAGATAAAATAAAGTTTATCAGATTTATCATATTAAGATGTATCTAATGATAGTATTTTTAAATTTTTAAATTAATAATTATTAATATATATTAATTTTTCAATTTTTCAATTTTTTAAAATAACTTATTATTTAATAATTATAAAAAAAAATTTTTATTTAATAATTACAAAAATATAAAATTCTTTTTGCTAATATTCTTATCTAATATTACCAATAATAAGAAGATAAAGCTATATAAAAAATCTGAACTGTATATAGTGTTCCTAATGAGTCGAGTCAAATCGAGTTTCAAGTCAAAATTATCCTACATACCTTTAATTTAAAGTACTTATTTATTATGTGTAACTAAAATTTACAATTATGCATAATCATGCGAGTCAAATATGCGAGTTTATGCGAGTCATTTTCGGAACTCTAACTGTATAATAAAACTATTCAAATAACTTAGAAAATAATAAAGAATTTAATACTTTATTCTCTAACAATTATAAAAAAACAAATAATAAAAATACTACTAAAGATACAAAAAAACAAAAAATTGAAATTCTAAAACTCAATATTACTTTAATAAGTATAGAAATTCCAAATATTATTTAATCAACTCCAACTATTATACAAATTACCTCTATTATTTCTATACTAAACTTCATTATAGAAGATTCAGAAGTATACAAAATATTGCAAAGTAAACTTTTCTTTTTATATCGTAAAACTCTAATTCATTCACATAAAGTATATAATGAATATTATTAATCTAACTTCATTTATTTCTACTGATAATAAAGATAAAACAAACAACTTTCTTGAGCTGATCAAGTGAAAAATAATTTAAATAAACCTAATCAATTATATGACTCTAAAATATAAAAGACTTCTTTTAATATAATTATCACTCTAATACATTTTTTTGCATTTGATGATATTACAGATATTACAGAAAAATCTATAGTTAATAAATATAATTTCATTAACAAATTATTTATTAACTTATCAGTATACTAAGAAACTTTCATATAACTCTAAATTAAAAAAGTTTTTTGTTTATTTTACTTTATTGATAAACTTATATATACTGTAATAAAGTTTAGAAAATGCAACATATCTTCGTGTTTGTTATTGCTAATCTATCTGTTAAGAAACAAAGAATCAATACTGAAAAAAATGCATTAAGGTTAATGATATTTTCTTATTTATCAAATTAGTTATAATACAAAATTTTTTTATCAAAGTAATACAATTACAAGATTCTCAATGATTATTAGAAACTACTTGCAAATAGTCTTTATAGTTTATGATTTAATTAAATCTTTTTATGATAATATATGGTCCTTACTATTTACAGTTCATATTGAACTCACTGATCTTGACATTATGTAATTGATTTTACAATAACAATTTGAATTAAAATTAACTGGTTTATTTTTTATATAATATAATAAGACTTCCTTATCTTTCTTGATACTATTATATAAAATTATATTTTATTTTGCAAGATTTTTAATATTGTAACCATTCTTATCTTAAATTAATTTTAATAATTAAGATGATTATAATGTTGTACTCAAATCTCAACATAAATTTAAATTGAACATATTATTCTAGATTAATCCTGCTATACCTATTATTAAAATTAATGTTTTAAATAGTTCAGTTCAGTTCAGTTCGAATTATAAATCTTAAAAATGTCAATCTAAAATTGAACTGAATCGTAAACCGGTAAAAATCTGAACTGAACTAAAAATTTTAGATTAAATCCAAAATTTCAGATTGTTTGAAATAATAATTTTATCGTTTCAATCAAATGATCCTTTTATTATTCTTTTGAAATGATGACTTAATCATTTCAATCAAACGATTTTCTTATCATTCATTTGGAATGATAACTTCAATCATTCTAAATAAACAATTCTTTTATCATTCTTTTAAAATGATTCTTTTATCATTCTTTGGAATAATAATTTAATCATTTCAATTGAATGATTTTTTTATCGTTTGTTTAGAATGATAACTTCAATTGTTCTAAATAAACGATTTTTTATTGTTCTTTTAGAATGAAAATTTAATTGTTTTAATCAAACAATTCTTTTATCATTCGTTTGAAATGATAATTTTATTATTCTAATCAAACGATTCTTTTATCGT